TTATGAGCTTTGTTTATAGAGCTCCTAGTAGTGCTCTGATGGCTGCAAAGGCTGGTATTATGGTTGCCCTGGAAAAGTTCAAGTTTTGAAATTGATTGATCTTAACTCCTTAGAAGGACAAATTCTGACTCTGGAATATATTGATTCAAGTAGTAGTTAAAATTTGTATTGATTTGTCCTGTATGAAATATATGTAAAGTTCTTTTCCTGTCCCTGGAGATGCATCTGTTGACCTAGATGTGCACTCCTTTTACTACATAGCCTAATGGGTTACAGTATATGTCTGTCTTCTGATTTCTACATTCATTTGAAGAATAAATGAATAATGTGGAAGTTACAGCATGCTCAGTATTACCAGACCAGAAGGTTAGTCACTGAAATTACCAAAACACACACACATATTAAGTTGCATGGCTAGTAAATTGTGAACTTGCCATCATTACTTTTTCTCGAAACTCTAGTAGTTCAGATTCATTACTTTTTTTGTCCTACACCTATAATCACTTAATCCAAGTTGTGACATGACAGCTAATCTCATCTCTTTTTTGACATTTGTAGGTCCATATGATTTTGGTGGGGTCCTTACGAACAGTAACCGGGACATTATAAATGGCGATGCTGTCCACAAACGGAACCAATCTTACAAGGAGATGCACTGGTGAGTTTCATGGGTTCAGCAAGGGGAAATAAGTGGCAAGCAAGTTTTTCTTCTTCTCGGTAAAGATGCACCAAACCCTATTTAACTTTTCTGGGAAAATGTGTGCTTTATTTATTTATTTTATTTTATTTTTAATCAAATGCATAGGTCACAAAACTTCAGAGTTGGGGTGACTTTCCTGTCTGATGAACTAGTAGTGAGAGGGCAAGAGAATGCACGCCTGGGAGGAGTCAGTCTGACTGATCCCCTTAACTTCTGTTGAGCTGTATTTACTGCCCATCATCTCCACCTGCAGCTAGATGATACTTGTCTACACTAGAAAAGTTTTTTTTTACTGGTGTAGCTCTACTAGCGAACCCTACTAGTGTAGATGAAGTTTACATCAGCATAAAAGTGCTTCTGCCAGCGCAGCTTTTATAGTTCCCTGGCAAAAGCACTTTTTTGCCAGTGTAAACTGCAGCTATGCTAGAGCTTGTATTGACATAGCTATTTTGGATTTAAAAAAAAAAAAAAAAAAAGCCCCCTCCCCCCCAGCTGACATAGCTATGCTGCTTAATTTTACGTGTTTGCTGAATCCTTGTACATCAGCATTGACGAGAGACCCCATCACATTTAGACCAGGCCTAATACCAGTGGAAGGTAAACTCTGTATTTAGCAAGTTGTTCATATGGCACACATACCCATGACGGTGTATTTGGCTCTTAGCTGTTCAGTGCATGTAGGCTGGTGGTAACAATTATACGTTCAGAATGGGGAATAGAACTCAGGACCCTCAGTTTCAAAACTCCTGGCCTCTAGCCAGTGACTTAAGGGGCAAACCCCACTAACTATCTGTAGAAGTATGGTAGTAATCTCCTCTCCTCTGCCCCCTTCTGAGTGTCTCACTAAAAAGCATGAACGGGCACAATTTTTAAACTTAAGCAGAATTCCACTTCAGGAACAGTCCTATATTTGAAAGGTGGTTCCTAGGGTTAATCTGCCTTGGGGCAGGTGGTGCACAGCCCCATTCCTTCCCCAAATCCCGGATGTTCAGGAGGAACGGCATCAGGACTCTCTTATTGGAGCACTTTGCCGACTGAGTGGATCCTTCTTTCCCTCCCCCTGTCCTGTGTGGTCAAGGGGAGGGAGAGGACCTGCACCCCTTCAGGCATAGCAAGGAGAGCACTGACTGCTCGTCTGCCCCTTGAACTGAGGTGGAAGTGAAGCAGGCAGAGCTAGTGGAGCACTGTGCAGCAGCAGCACGAGGACTTCCATTGAGCATTTTCAACCCAGGAAATAGCCGTGTAAGGATCAGACTGGTTTTCCATGGGATTGTCGCCCCAAATCATGAAGGGCTTAATGACATCGGGGGCTCTCACTTTGTTCCTAATAGTTAGGGTTCAGGTAGACTCACTCCCCTAATAGAGGGTAAGATAACTATGAACTGGTGAAACACTGGCTGATACCTGTGCTGTGTACTGCCTATGAACATTCTCTACCCCCCCGCCCCTTACTTTCCTGAAAGGCTAGAAAAGATTATGTTGTCTCATACTTAGGACGCTACCAAATTCAAGGTCCATTTTGGTCAATTTCATGGTCATAGGATTTTTAAAATAATAAATTTCATGATTTCAGATATTTAAATCTGAAATGTCAGTGTTGTAATTGTAGGGGTTCTGACCCAAAACAGAGTTGTGGGGGGGTCGCAAGCTTATTTTAGGGAGGGCTGCAATACTGCTACCCTTACTTCTATGCTGCTGCTGGCGGGGGGCTGCCTTCAGAGCTGGGTGCCTGGCCAACAGCCACCTAGCTCTGAAGGCAGCGCAGAAGTAAGGGTGGCAATACCACTACCCCCCTAAATAACATTGCAACCCCTCTGCAACTCTCTTTTGGCTCAGGACCCCCAACTTAAGAAATGCTTGTCTCCCCCGTGAAATCTGTATAGTATAGGGTAAAAGCACACAAAAGACCAGATTTCAGTCTGTGACATGTTTTTCATGTCCGTGAATTTGGTAGGGCCCAACTTGTACTAAACCATCTTGGATGTCTGTTGTGTTGTCCAGCTCTTTCTAATGTTTTTATATCACCTCTTTAAATCCTCTCTTGTTTGGGGCTAATACTCTATGTGGGTGACGGCAAAAAACTTCCCCTTAAATATTCTGTTTGTTTTTCCTGTAAAGTGAGCTACAACTTGAGTATTAGGCTTTCTTGTTCCATCCTACTGTTCTCCCTTTAATGTGGGCAGCTATGTGCCTAAGGAGAAACCTCCTCGCTCAGAGCAGGACAGCGTGACCCCTGTAGCAGCTTCACAGAAAGTTCTAGTGCTGTGTGAATTGTCTCATCTTTCTCTTTTTAGCCTTCACCCTGGTGATCTCTACCCTTTCACAAGAAAGCCCCTATTTATCATTGTGGACTCCTCAAACAGCGTTGCCTATAAGGTAAGGTTTTTGAAAGCAGACGTGTGGTGGAGTACGGTGCCAACCCACAGGTAGCCTACAGTTTTTATGGTGTGTGTGTGTGTGTGTGTGTGTGTGTGTGTGTGTGTGTGTGGTTTTTTTTTTTTTTTGTAATGCATTGTATTTAGTCTTTTCTGTCGGGGTTGTGCATGCTGGGCAGGATCTGATCCTTTGAAAAGGAACAAGAACAGAAGCACATGAATGGCTGCTCATTGGAAAGTAATAAATCCTCCTGGAGGAAAAAAAACAGTTTAAGATTGGGACTGGTGGGAGGTTTATTTTTGTTATATACCAAAGGTAATTTCTTTTTCGGGGGGGGGATTACTTAATCTGCTTTTCTGCTCCAGATATCTAACCCTCCTACTCAGAGCTGCTTTAAACAGCAGAAAAGTGTCAATGCAGAGTTTTGCCTTGTAAATAGGTGTGTTCATTTATCTGGAAAAAATATCTGAATGAGAAAAAAATAAATTAAAAGACAGATGTGTTACAAAAATTAGATCTACATTTAGCATCTCCTCTTGTATAATATGTGCTAGAAAAATGACAAACTCCTGTGACTGAATGCTGTAGAGACATAGTAGAATTATTCAGTGCCAAATCCTCATTAGCAATCTACAATTCAGGTAATGTGGAAGCAAGTGTGATTAATTCCAGAGGCACCAATCACCTCTGGATGACATTATTTCATTAGTGAATGTAATGTTCAGAAACATGCTGGGTATGCAAAACTGTCACTTCCTGATGCCTTCCTCTTACAACTTGACTTATTTACAGTTAGACAAATAGTCATTTGCAGCTGTATTTCTAAGGAGCATTAGGGATGTCTAGTGGCCAAATATGCCTGTTCTCTCTCCAGTGTCTATTGTCTGTTTCACCTGTTTAGAGAAGGATGTTGGATAACAAAACTCAGACTCATTTTGAATTATACGATTACTGATATGCTATCATCAATTTGGGAACACTTTGACCTAAATGTCATAACACTGTGTTGCTTTTCTCTAGTGCCTTTTTATCAAAGCATCTTGAAGGATTTTGCAATCACTAATGCAATTGATTTCACCATGCCCCTTTGCTTGTAGGTATTATCCCAATTTACAGAAAGGGGGATAAATGATTTGACCACAGCCACAAGGAAGTCAGTGACAGAGATGGAAATAAACCCAGATCTCTTGATTTTCATTCCACCTTAACCACAAGACCATTCTTCCTCCCTTCCTATTATAGCTTCTGAAAAGACATGTAGGCCTGGTATGGGAGAGGGCAGAACTAGGGAACCTCAGTACACATGCAACTCTGGATATGCATGTTCTCTGCAGGGGGAGATCATGGATTCCCTCATTTGGGCTTGCATCTCACATGAGTCTTAATATTTTCGGAAGAAAGTTGCTTTGTAAACTCAGGAATAACTCAATCCTATCCAAATGGAGACTAGAATTTCTGTGCACCCGTCTCAACCTGAGTTCTGCTCCTCATTGTGCTTTGTGTTTGGTCAGTGAGCCTAACCTCTAACTTCTTATCCAATGTATTAGTTGTTAGCCAAAGCTCACAAACCAGCCAGCAGAAGAAAAGAGCAGGGAGACACCTCAGCCCCCAGCTTGTGTGCAAGGGGAAAAGTGGATACTCTGGTGTTCCTTGGAATTGTGTTAGCTGCTAGGAACTTGTAGGACATTGGTGATTATATGGACTCCATTTTTTGTGACTGTCTAGAGAGAACTCAGGAGAGTTAGTGTGAGTGTTTGAAATAGTTTCGTAAACAGTGTTAAGGACTTCATGTCTGAACTTCAGGAAATCTATCACCATTCGTATATCTCAATGAAAGGCAAATAGTGGAGTGCCCAGCTGTGGTAGTGTTTCCCAGCCCTCAGTAAATGCAAGTCCCATGTCATTGCTCTGCAAGTGTGCTTGGCGACTTGCATAAGAATATGTAAGTAGTGCTGTTTGCAAATGTCCCTGGGTGAGTTGTGAGTGGAGATGAAATGCTTTGTAGTCAGAGCACGTCAGCGCAGACAAATGTTCTGTGCACCTGTGTGAAAAGTCAGAGCCAGTGCAGTGACTCCTTTCCATGCTGCTGCTCTGATCCTTTCAGAGGACAGTAGCTAGTTTGATATTTCAATGGCACTGCTTAGCAGTATTGACAGTAACACGAATTGCTCATCGGCCTTCTCCAAAAAGCTGCTTTCTGCTCATGTGCACTCTGTCATTCGTTCTCCTTCTGAAGAATTTAAATGGTGATGACAGGGAGGGAGTCCTGCCATGAAGTGATGTCGTGCTTTTAGAGAGACTCAGCACCTATGTGAAATACTCTACTCTACTTGGGACTGGCCCTCTGAGGGATGTAGGCACTGTCCCTTATTCCTTAGCCAGCAGGGGTTATCTCTAGGAAAGGTGTCTGCTCTTAAAACATTTTTGCATCCAGGGTCGCAGGAAAAAGGAGACCTGCTAATAGGTCTTAAAGAAAATATTCACTTTCTTGTCTCTCTTCTCCATCCACACAGCGTGCATAGTCCTACTGCGCAATACGCTGTGGGAGGATCACCTAGGGCCTCCTCCTCAAGCAGGGCATGTAAGCAAGAGAGCTGACCGTTGTGCTCTTACGGGGGTAGAGTGGGCGGCAAGAAGGCTAGAGGAACCCCTCTAATATTGATATTTGGGTTGGACCCATCCAAAGCTGGGGATTGCTTTACGTAGGAACATTTAGTAGGTACCCATCACCATGACATTTGTGCACTTTACATGGCTTAAATTGAGTAATTAACAGTATAAGAGCTCCTCTGCAGCACACAGCTTTTCCAGTGACAGAGGAGGAATCTAGCCAGTCAGTTGAGAGCAGGTTTTCATAGTTCAGTCCATTGGAGAAACCTGGACCGAGAGTCATCTTGCAGCTCTTTCTAAATAGAGACAGGTTTGTGCTTCACTGTTTCAAGTTCCAGAGGAGCAGGCTGACTACCAAGAGTGCTTTGTCCTCATCTCCTGCAAGCTCTCTTGTGTGCCAGTGACTGTAGCCTGTAGGGTGGGTTGGAAGTGCAGTGATCTGGGTCTCTGCCAATTAGAGAATGTGGGATTTGGAATCGAGGAAATGGGGTACTGTCGTATCTTAATGTCTGGAGAAGGCAGAAAAGCCTATATAGAACAAATGCATGAGAGTTGATTTTATACTACATAATGGGAAGCAATTAAGTAATTACACAGAGGGCTGAGAGGGATGGTAGAAGTCTGAGCCAGCTGGTATAATTTGGCGGAGACCCCAATCTCCAGTCTGTCTTCTGGTACCGCAGGACTCTCCACCATTTTCTGCGGGTGCTCCTCCACTGGATGGGACTTCTAGTTGGTCTCCTCTATTTCTGTTCAGGGTTCTCCAACATATCCCTTCAGGAACTGATTCTTAGACAGTCATAAGGAAAGATCAGGCTCATTATCAAGGGTAGCAGAACCAACCCTGTATCCTCCTCCCCCACCCCCACCCCCGTTCTGTATGGGGCCCCCCCCAATGACTATACTCTGGACTGCCTATCGATGACAGTTTGCCAGACCACCAGTACTGTCCTTCAGAGGGAGGCCAGAGTTGCACAGCCCTCTCCTCCACAACCAGCCCGCCGCCAGGAGACTGAGGAGCAGGAGGCCAGGGCAGATAACGAAGCCACCGTCAAACACCAATTTCATCCTTTTCTCCAGATGAGGCAGTTATGTCTCTGCCACCATCCATAGCTGATGATGTTTGGCAATTTCAAGACCTCATGAAGAGGTAGCTATTCCACTCCTAGAGGTCAGGGATTTGCAGCACAAGCCGCTCAATATCCTGCAGTCAGCAACACCCTCCAGGGTGGTGTTTCTGATCAGTTAAGCGCTACTGGGCTTGGAACACCGAGTGTGCAGGCACGTGTCACAAAGCCCTGAGCTTAGTGTGCTGTGTAGACATACCCCTGGAGTTCTAAACTGTTCCTATATAGCAGAGGTAGCTAAACGTACTGACCGAAGGCATATGACAATCTTCAGAAATTTGAGAGCCGAGGCGCGCCTGCCGGGGCTCAGGACTTCAGCCCCACTCCTGCTGAAACCCTGAGTCCCCCCTCCCTGCTGGGCAGAAGCTATAGGCGATGCATGTGGGGGGGTCATGTGCCCCCCCCCCCCCTTTTTTGCCAGGTTTGCTAGCCCCGCTCGGTGGAGCTGGCAAGCTGCAGCCATGGGGAAAGGCAGCAACAAACAGCAGGGACCTGCAGGGAGAGCTGCTGCTTTTGCTGCTGCCTCTTCCCAGGGAGCTAAAGTAGCAGCCCTGCCCTGCAGCTCCCAGGTGTTTGCTGCTGCCTCTCCACATGGAGCTAACACCTGGGAGCTGCAGGGAGGGGCTGATGAAGATAAGGGGGGATTTGCCTGAGGGGGCATGACTCAAGCTGTTGTGGGGGGTGAATTTTTAAATTGTGCATCCCTCCCCCCCCCCCCCCCCAGTAGGCCCCAGTCATCTCTAGCAGAAGCCCTTGACCCCACCACCAGGCCACAGGGCAGAAGCCCAGAGCTTTCCCTCCCCCTTCCTTCCCCCAGTCTAGGAGGTGGAGAATGGGGGGGGGGGGTCCGCGAGCCGCACTTTAACTGTAAAGGAGCCACGTATGGCTTGTGAGCCGCAGTTTGGCCACCCCTGCTGTATAGTTCAATATTATTGGTTCCTTTTTGGCTTGCAGTCGTCTGCACAGTAATAGTTTCTGATGATTCTTCATTAGAGGCCAAAATCTTAATATCTAGTTCATAAATCTCACTTGGGCTCTTCTTGGAACAGAGCTTTTAGCCTAGTCAGTATTTTTCTAGGCATGAGAAATGTATATTACTTTGATTAGACCTGGCCACTGTTGATAGTATTTTGACATGTTTAGAAGGAATTAGTTTAATTAAAATACTTTTGCAAGGAGTTTAAATATCAGCTTGCTAGGCAGAAATCCGAAAGAATCCAGAATTGGGACCTCCCTTCTTTTTTGAGCCAAGTGACTGACGGTTCTGCAGTAGGTAAATGATTCTCTGGGCCTTGAACCCAAGATTGATGATGTACATTTTAGATGTGTAATATGTAATCTGAAGGGAACTATGAATTGCACTGAACCGGCCACTGTTTCATTAGCGTGAATGTATGTGCTGATGTCATACAGACATCCTGGTATCTCTCTTATAAGGCATTGCAACTCTTCAGTTTTAGAAAGATTCCTAGCAGGAAAAGAACAACTCAGTTTAGTAACTAAACTGGAGAAAGAACAGGAGTACTTGTGTTTCATGACCTCTTTTTTTCTATAAGAAGTAGATTCTAGAGTAGAAGATGCATTCCCTATGTGTGTCAGTGTAGAACAATGCAGTGCTCTGAATTTTAGAGTAATTCTTGTAAAATATGGTGTGTTTTTACTAATATTGAAGGAAAATTGATTAAGCAATTAACTTGAAACCGTGTTTTCGCATAGCAGCTGCTTAATGGTTCACGTTTGTTTTTAAATGGAGCCAATTTTAATACTCCTCATACCTGTGGCTCTCCTATTCCAGTGGGAACAGTCCTACTGCTAAGAAAAAGCAATATTTTTACCTTCATTGGACAGCCAAACTAATGGCAAGTAAAGTAATTGAAAGGACTAATCCAGGTTGGTCTTTGCCTGAAAACAAACAGATTTGTTCTTTGGAGTACAGAATATATTTTTAAAGCAAGTCCATTACTGTAATGGGTTACTCCCTAAAAGCACTTTGTTTCTATGAAATTAGTGCCTACTTTCAGTTACTGTGTGTGTGTGTGTGTGTGTGTGTCTCCCTTCCCCACTCATTCCCTCCTTAGTTGTATATATTAAACCTATATTAAGGTTCCAACCAATAAGACAAAATGACAATTGATGTTTTAACTGTTCTGTTACAGAATTTCACAAACTTATTTGGACAGCCACTGGTGTGCTTGCTTTCTCCAACAGCGTATCCAAAAGCATTACAAGGTACAAAGGTGTTGCCCTTCCTCACAGCTTCTCTTGTATTACTTTTAAAAACTATGTAAGACAATATAAAGTAACATTTATCAGCTTCCAAAATGATCACATTCTGATGCTTTCTCTTCACTTGATGATGACCCCAGCGGGGGGTGAGCAGCGCTTGAAGCGGCATAGCATGCTAAGAGTTTACTGACAGTTCATGACAAATGACTTTTAACATGGCATGATTCAACTGGAGTCTGTCCAAGCAGCTTCACCAAGTGCCAGAGAGGAAACTCGGTTTGCAGATGCAGAGACCCAGAAAGTTGCCATCACAGTGCTGGGGTCATAATTCACTTTTTCTATTATTAGCATTTGAGAAGCTTCACTACAAATGGAATGTCACTAAGATAATGTTGCCCACTCTATTCCAGGAGCCGTTCTAAAGGCCAGCTGTAGAATCTGCATTCATATCTAGTCTGCAGAATCTCTCTGGCATCAGTGTAGATTTTGGAGGGTTTCTTAAGGAAAACAATTAGTGCATCTCATGGAAAAATGGGTTTCCAGAATGAGCAAGTCAGAGACCAGAATACTTCTGCCAATTTCTAGGTTAAAGATGACCATGGTCAGATTCCCATCTACCTTTTCCCATTAGAACAGAGTTGACAGTGTGGTCTGCACTATGCTCACCAGTTCCACTTGTCAGAGCTTAACGGAAACAACTGCAGCCATTACTTTAGGTAGCAAAATAAATATTTGCTAAATAAGAATATATACGTATTAACTTTCCAATACCTATAACTGTGACTGGTTCTGGTGTGTGTCTGTGAGGGTTGCCAATTTTACTGCTACTTCCCAGCATGAAGTCCAGTCTGCTGACATAGTTTGAGACACAGGAAGTGGTGCTCAGCAAATGAATGAATGAGAGAAGCTGGAGACTTCACAATTGCTTTAAGGTAAGTTCTATTATTTGCTAGAAACTTTTGAATAGAAAATATTAAGTTTTGTTCAAGTGAAAATTGTTAACAAAGAGGAATTCTGATTAAATAATAGAACTTACCTTTTAAAACAATGAATGTCTCCAGTGGGGTTCCTGTTTAGTGTTAGTAACGCACCAGTAAATATCTGTTGTAACTCTGGTAAGACACTGACCAATGACCAAAAGGGGGTTCCCACAGTAAAAGACTTCGCTAGCTTCTCTCTTCTTTCTTGTTTTAAGCTGTTAAATAGAGCCAGCAGCACTCCCAAGGAAAGGAGTAGGTTTATGGAGAGTAACTGGAAAAAACAAAGGGGCATTATGTCTGTTTTGGGTGGGGGACCATATATATCCAAGTGTTGCGTTGCTTGCCTACTTATTACCGGAGCAAAGACGTTTCTCTGGGTTTTTGGTAATGCTGATAAACAGTAAAAGAAAGAAATGTTATATGGTGGGTCCAGTTATGATCTTATACAGTATCTTGCATTGCAAGATTGACACTAATTGTATTAAAACCATGCACAGAACTAAGCCTCCCACAAGTATGTGGGGTCTCCTGTGCTCCTATCATGCACGTATCTCTCATGAACCTTGACTGGAATTAGTAAGTGCATCACCAGGAGAACTGGCCCCCATCGTAAAGGCTGGGAAGATCTTTCCATAAACACTGCACGTTACTGCCTCAGTTGGAGAGGAATGGAGGGGTGCAGGGCTCTACTCTGTGGCAGGGACAGCTTTCCTGTTTCACACACCGAATGCATCATGTTGTTGTTTATTATTGGCTTTTAGATCAGTCTCAGCGGGGTAGCCTCTTCACCCTCTTTCTGAACAATCCTTTAATGGCATTCCTATTTGTCTCTGGATTATCAAGCATGCGCAGAGGATTGTGGGAGAAGTGTCAAGATTACCTTAGAAAAATCAACCGGGATATCGCCCAGCTGCTGACCCATTCTCGCTCCATAGGTATGTCCTTAAAGACCTACACACACTCAACAGAAAACTTAGTGGCACAACTTGAGCTGGATTTCTTATTTGTTTCTCGTTGGTCAGTCTTGCCAAAGACTAATACAGTTTGGGGGGGAGATGCACAGCTTTTCTATGTGGTGTTTTCCCAAAGGTCTCTTGCTTCAAAAATGCCTTTCTGAATTCAGTTTTCTTTAAGTGTCACCTTCTTCCTCTGCAGATCAGGCCTTTCTTCAGTTTTTTGGGGATGAATTTCTTCGCTTACTTCTAACAAGATTCGTCTTCTGCTCAGCCACCATGAGGATGCACAAAATTTTCCGGGTATGCAGGGAACTTTCCCTTTGTGCGAAAGAGTCACCAGGCAAATTCTGTTTTCATGCAGAATTGCCTTGGCTGGCGGTTAAAGGGCTCTTCTAGCTAACTTCTGTGGCTCTTCTGCTCGTGGGCTTCACTAGTACTGCTCATAAGGTCTCCTCCCCTGCTGAAATGAGTATTCAGTAATGTGTGTGTGAAGCACATAGCGGGTCATGTTAGCTACTCTGACAGGTGAAAAGGCCTTTGTGTACAAATGCTCATAACTAGTTTTAACAATATAGTGCGTCTGTCTTCTGATTCCATGTAGAGCATGAAACAATTTATCTGAGTTTGGACACATTCTAGTATTGAGCCTACCCATAGTACATATTCATTTATATAGCACTGTATTTGTACACAGCTGTGTATACTAAGAGTGCTATGTCCAAAAATATAGTAAGAGGCCCTCTTGGCACACAGCCTGGAAAGTTTATAAACAAGAGTGGTGGGTGGGCTTTCAAATTGGAATGCGTCACAGAATTCATGATTTCCAAAGTGAGGTGGGTGGATGTTTTTGAGGCACATGAGGGCACCACACTTCAGGAAAGATGTAGACAAACTGGAGAGGGTCCAGAGGAGAGCAACAAAAATAACAGGCTTGGAAAACCTGACACATGAGGACAGGTTTAAAAAAGAAAAAAAAACTGGGCATGTATAGTCTTGAGAAAAGACTGAGGGAGGAAGCTGATACGTCTTCAGATATGTTAAGGGCTGTTATAAAGAGGATGGTGAACGGTTGTTCTCCATGTGCACTGAAGAAGGACAAGAAGTAATGGGAGGTTTAGGTTTGATATTAGGAAAAACTTCCTAACTCTAAGGGTAGCTAAACTCTGGAATAGGTTTCTAGGGGAGGCTGTGGAATCCCCATGTTGGAGGTTTTTAAGACCAGGCTGGACAAACCCGTCAGGGATGGTCTAGGTTTATTGCGTCCTGTCTCACTGCAGGAAGCTGGATTTGATGAGCTCTTGCAGTCCCTTTCAGCCCTACTCTTCTGTGATTCTGTGAACTTAAAGACTGCAGATAATTACAGTGGGCAGAAAGCTGGTTCCTCTGTTGCCAGGAATGGAGTCTGCCTCTAGGATTACGCTATTATACACGTCCGCTATGGATGTTGGTACACAGATCTAACTTACCTGCTTGAGCATTGCAGGGAAATATTAGCAGTGTATTCAGCACATGTGTAAAATCTCCTTCTTTGTCCTGTTCCGTTTTTATCGTGTGTTCACTTACACATCTGGCCATCTTGGGCTAATGAGGCTTTGCTACTGCCACAGTCACCTGTAGGCACTAAGCTGCCATAATTTGAAAACTAGGCCACTGCCTGTGTGTCAAGGGAGATGGCTGTGAAGATCAGCTTCATAATTTCTGCGAAGATCTGGCCACTTTTGTGGCCTGTCAAACAGATCAGCGTGTGTTTGTTTTTTTTTAATGAATTGGCTTTTTATACTTTTTGTTCTGTACTATTAGATTATAAAAATAATTGTACTCTTTTTCTCCTCTTCTAGCAGGAAACTCGAAATTACCCTGAAACTTATCCCCAACTGCCAAGAGATGAAACCGTGGAGAACCCTCATCTCCAAAAACACATTCTGGAGCTGGCTTCCATCCTGGATGTTAGAAATGTGTTCGTGGAAAACACCATTGATGACTATTAAAAGAAATACTTTTACTGCAATAGGGTTTCCCTAGCCACAGACTTTGAATGGTGCAGTTTTCTAATGTGAAAATCCACAAAAGGAGTTACTTGATTTTATTTTAAAATTTAGGATTTTTTTTTTTTAAATAGCTGTTAGCCCAGCTGCCCCATTCTGTATGGGGTCAATTTTATAAACAAATCTTTTCACATCTTTTAAATGTTAAACTAAGGAATCCCTGGAGTTCTGTTTTTTGTTTTTGTGGTTGAAAGCAACCACATCTAGATCCTAAGCATAAAAGTATTATTGGTCAATTTTAGCCCGCTTTATGGAAATCCTTTATTTTTATACAGTTTTAAAAAATTGGAAGCAAAAACCCAATAGAAAACCAATACTTTATCTCCGAAGAGTTTGGATTTGAAATGGTAAAGCTGGAAACACATCATGCAAACCGGCAAGAGCAATAAAAGAAACAGCCCTTCATAACACATATATTTTTTTTCAATCTTAGGTGAGTAATTAGACAAACTTGTGCTAGAACAAATGGCAGTTGGATCCGTGGGTTTGGAGTGATGCTACAGATGGATCTCCTAACATCTAGTGTTCCATGTAAATTAGTAATTTAAATCTTCTACTGAGCAGTACTGCTGGCCAAGAACACAAGTCCCATCCTGCCTGCTTGGGTGTAGATAGCAGGCTGGTGGCACATATTACAAAATTAATCACGCTGGCCCCATTTCCTCAGTATAGTACAGTCTGCCCACCTCCATATCTTGGGTCAGAGCCACCACCCTTCTGCCTGAGGATGCTGGTCCATAACTCCTCTTGAGTCAGTCAGTAGAGCTGCTTAATCACCACAGGGGGTGGAGGGTGTCTCCCTTCTTACCTTGTTGAGGGAATGAAGTGAGTGGCTTCCACAATATTCTCAGCCCTTGGTGAGTCTCTGTCCAGAAATCAGACCAGTCTCCCGTAGTAGTACTGAGTTCCAGCCCTTCCCAACAGAGAAACACCTGGCAGGACACCTCTTGGTGCTGCTGCTGTTGCCTGCTTTAACAATGGGATAATCTTTCATGGGATCCTTGTGACCCTAGAACTGCTTTTTTCTTATGTTATAATGATTAATAAGTGCTGCCACAGAACACCGCAGCCCTTCATGCGTGTGGTGAGGGCCCATCGCTCCACCCCACTCCCTCCTGTCTGCTCTGAGTCCTGCTCTGACAGCATTTTTCAAATGAGCCACAGGCAGGCTGAGCAGAGGGAAGGTGTGCGAGGCACATAGTCATCAACAAACCCCAAAACACAGCTAGTGGAGATTGGTTCATAGGTATATCAGCTTCTGCTGTGCCCCTTTAATTGCACAATAATTCCACCCAGACCTAGACAACATCCAGCAGGGCTCTATAAAGTCTGCATCAAGGATCTGTACGAAAGCTAAGGTAGAGAAGGTGCTTGCTGGAGAAGTAGGAGGGTAAAGCTACCAAGGCAATGCCCTCCTAGCTTCAGAACAAGCTCCAGGAGCTCTTGTACCCCTTGACAGAAAGGAGGCATGGAGGGGGGGAGGGTGGAAGCTCTGGAACAGTAGAAGGATTTGGCTTCTACAAAGCAAATGTTCTAAAGACCTAAGCTAATAGCCTGTAGACACTCAGCTTTGAGACTGGCTCCACTTCAGTTACTGGCAGTAAAAAAGCCAGCTTGTCCCAAAGCCAAGACTGAAGCACAACAAATTTTTGTAGGCTCCAGTGTTTGGTTTTTAAAGATCTGTAAAATGAATAGTGGGCTTTTAACTGAAAATACTCATTCTACCAAGAAGGTGTTCACTTTAAATCCAGTGAAAGGCAAGTCTATGGAGATATGGATTGTAATTTTTGTATCTGAAATTGCACAACAGATTGTCAAATGGCCTGAAATGACAGGTCTAGAAATAGTGGTAGCAAAGCAAACTGTGGTCATCTTGTTTGTGTGAATATAAGGTGTATGGTGCTGGAAAGGCTGCCTTTTGGCTTTTTGTTATGCATGGCTGTATTGCTGTCTGAAGTGAAGGCCAGTGAGGTGCTCCCTGTACTGTAATGCTGAAAACTCCAATAGAGCAAGGACACCATGCTGGACTCTGTTGTGTCCTTAGAGAATGTAGTGTATGGTACCAATGTGGAATGTTTCAAGCTGTTACATGAAAGCTGTTTTGTTCTGTGTTCATTGTTCGAATGCTGGAAAATGGGGAGGAGTTTGAGTAGCCCTTTAATTTTGAGGTCTGGTCCAATGTTTCAATTTTTAAAATGAGTTTGGTAGCTTACTTACCTTGGTGCCTACTTCAGTGGGCCTCTTCAGAATCACACAGTGATGTGACCATCTTCTTAAGACAGACGGGACTAGCCAGGGCCTGAGGGTGCTCCAGGTCAGGACTGATGCCCATCACCACTGCTGTAGGAGAGTCCAGTGCAGAACAGTGTGGGTGTTAGAGTAGGCGGCATGAGTGGCGCTTCCAAAGCACTCGCTAGCACTGTGCTGGGCTGTAGCCAAGTCCTTCACTCCCATGGGCACTAAAAATCAATGGAACATTATGAGAAGAATTCTTTCTTTGAGCAGTTGGGGATGCAGTTCTCGTCTGTGGAGCTGTGGTTCTTTGGTCAACCTTCTTTAGCTGAGATTGAGTTTATTTTAAAATATGTATATACTCGGTGTTTGTGTTTATGTACAGTACACACCCACCTACCTGTTGGGTGTGCTTGTAAATATGTATAGATATTTGTATATAGGAAGGTCTTGAGATAAGATATGTATATATAAAAATTATATATACACACAGACACCAATTGGATTGCATTCCATGAGGGTGTGTTAGAAGCATTCTTCAAGATGCTGTAGCTGTTAAGTTTGCGGTTGCATTACCATTGTAATCCTCTATTTTCAGGGGCTTATGTTTGATAAATGAAATAATTTGGGGCTAAAACTACATGCAGCAGGCCTCATCCAGTGAGCAAGGGGGTTTCTTTTACAACTGTAAATATTCCAATTCACACTGAAATGATAATTGTGTGATGTGAACCAACAGAATCCAGGAAATGTGAAGCTTGAGGCTGATTTGCCCTTTCCCATGGGCACGAGGTCCCAATCACACAATGGAGTGTTTGCATTAAAGTTTAGTTTTTTTTCTTTTGTCATCACTTTCATGGAGCATCCTTTGTATGCAGACACATTGGGGAAGCCATGTAGGAATATGGAAATCTCTGTAGTCGCAGCACAAAGGAGAGAGCACAGCATCCGTATTATCTTCCCCCTCCTGCACTTCAACATTAAATAAGCTAGCAGCTCAGTCCCAGGTCATTGCACTGTGACCGTATTGAAATCCCATGGTTAGGTTTGACTGTTGTGGTTCCATTTCACTTCCCTGCAGCTGGGAATAGCATGTGCATGAGCTTGGAAGAAAGGATTCCATTAGCATGCCCTGTTTGTGTCCTGGTGAACCCTTGTGGAATGTGGTTTGTGAGCTGATGGGGAAGCCCTGATGCTTGTCTTCTGCTCAGCTTGGATGAAGAAGAGTCTCTGCTTATGATGCATCTGTGTGACTTCTGTGTCTACAGAACCAAGTGATGTATTTGGTCCTGCTTCCCCATTAGCTGGAGTTTGCAGTAGTCAGACATGGACATGCAGACAGGGACATGCAGAGAGGGCTAGTAGGAGAGGCTTGTTTAGAATCTGCAAAGAATGAGAACGTTAAGTCAAAATCCAAACATGTCCTCAGCTCTGCCTGGATCTAAAAAGTCAGAGATGCACTTTTTAAAGGAGTCTCTCATTCTCTTCTTGGCTATCTATCATATCTGGTTGGTCTTGTTCAGAATACTTGCTATTAATCAAACTTGACAACAGGGGTTTTCAAAGAGTGAACTTCATTTATCTTGTTCTAACAGTTTGTCCCATTCAGACTTACTTGAACTCATCCATTGTAAATGGTGGATTCTCTGTTACTTGGACTTCAGTAACTCAACCAGGGACTAAGGGGTCTATTACAGGAGTGGGTGGGTGAGGTTCTGTGGTGTGCAATGTGCAGAAGATCAAACTACATGATCACGATGGTCCCTTCTGACCTGAAAGTCTGAGTCAACCTCAACATGTGTATACCTACTGTATGCATGGGCATGTGGATATGGTTGTGGATACCTCTCTGTACATACAGCATGCTTGTACATAACAGAAAAATGTTCTCCTGTTCATTTCATGTTCAGAAATCCTCACTGCTAGGCAGTGAATAGCAGTGAAAGAAAGATTGATCTGGGAGGATCACCATTATAAGAGAGGCAGGGGAGAAGTAATGGGTGTTTCACTTGCTTACAACAGTGGAGAGAACTTGCCTTCCAAGTTCAGGGAAGGTCCTATGAAGACAGCAAGCTGAGCCTATGTTTAGAGGAAAATATGCAAACTTGACTAAGTGCCTGCTTTGCAGATTTCTTCTGCCACAGCTCCTACGTTCTGCCGATGATAACGTAGTGGGTATGGTGTAATTTACCTCCATTGGTGGCATCCCTCTTGCCTTGTACTCCTCTGCTATCTGGGCTTTAAAACATCTAGCCAAGGTTACTATTGTTGCCTTTTTTCCCTTGGTGTCTCAGATTAACAGCAACAAACAGGGCTGTGGAGCTTCTTATGAATTCAGTAATTTCTAACCCCTCTCCAAGTACAAAAAGGTGCCACCACTTTGCTGCTTGTGCATTAGACTCTGACAAAAAATGAAGGTGCATTAACACCTGTGAAGAATGGAGTTGGACTCTGGAATGAATTCTGGAGAAGTCTCAAACAGTTTTTGTCCTGATGGATTTCAAATAATAATCTTCAGCAAATAGCGCTGAAGTAATGGCTACTAGGAAACCCTTTCAGGGAGAGAAAATGAGGACGTTTCTCTCCTAAGATTCAAAGGGAGCATATAGGAATGGGAATTCAGGCTTCAGCAGGGGCACTTATTAATCTTTGGAAATCTTAAAATTTTAGCAGTTCTGTAAAAACTGACCCTTTGAGGATGGGAGGAGACGCTAATACCTGTGTGTGAATCTATGGCTGCTCTTTGTACTGTGAGGGAGCATACATAGAAGCCCAAATTCCATACAATGTTGTAGATATTGGAGAGTGGAGAAGGCTTCATGCTGATTGATTGGGCTTGATTCCTTTATCTTTTCATTAGCATCAGAACCATATCCAGACTTGTACATAAACCTTTGAACCAAACTCCTTCCTGGAAGTTAAAAACTTGTGACTCTCTGAATAGCCCTTCTGTCTTAACACTTTTCTTAAACAGGCTTTGTCTACACTAGACTTTCTCACCATTACAGCTCAGTAGTGGTAGCAGTGGTATACTAGAAGCCTTAATATAGAGCTGGCAGGACTAGGCAACATACGCCTCTACCCCTATATAACGCTGTCCTCGGGAGCCAAAAAATCTTACCGCATTATAGGTGAAACCACGTTATATTCAACTTGCTTTGATCCGCTGGAGTGCGCAGCTCCCCCCACCCCCCCGGAGCGCTGCTTTGCTGTGTTATATCCGAATTTGTGCTATATCGGGTCGTGTTATATCAGGGTAGAGGTGTAGCAGTTAATACATTACAATTGATCCATACTAGGGCTCTCACCAATGCTACAACTGGTAGAGCTGCACCAATAAGAACCATGGTAATCTTATGGGAAAAGTCTAGTACAAACCATGCCATCAAACGTTGTGTAATTGGACTGTGGTACCATCTGGGTCTGTGTTTGAGGATGCTGGTGTGGAAGATTGGAGAATCGCCATAATGGGGGCCATGCAAGTAAGTCTATTGCCATTGCTCTTCAGACCCTTCATCTTAAAAAGACCCTTCCTTGTTATTTTGTAACTTTTTTCCCCCCCTTCTCCACCCTGGATGAAGAGAGCTGAGGATTTCTGAATTATTGAGTGGTCTTTCAGAAGATCAAAGGAATGAATTTCCATTCCTTCTCAGTTTTTCTGCCAACTAGCTGTTGTCCTGTAGGTGCATTGCTCTTCGATCCCAGCTTCACCTCCTGCTTTTGAGTCTTGAGCCACAGACTTCAAATGCTGCTTACTTGTTCAGTTTAGATACTGGAGCAGTTTTCAGATCTTATTCAGAGGTCATTCCTCTGCACGTATTCCTGCAGGGCTAACAAAGCCTGCCATATGAGCTGAAGCTGCAGAAACTCTGTTTTGAATTTTCTATTCAGACTGTATTCCCTAATATTTGCTTACAAGAAGGAACCCCCTGGACTCTGTTACTACTTCTCAGTAGCAGTGCTGAGCTGCTTTGCTGGAGCACGGCATTGCCTAGCAGTACTTTACTTTCAAAAAAGCACAAGGTGCCACTTATCTTCTCCTGCTCCTCCCCTAGGATCAGCAAGTAGTACAAGGAAAATGGGGATAGGACTCCAGAAAGATGAACTCCACGCAGGAAATGGGAGCTTTCTGCCTTTGTCTGGTAATCGGAATATTTATTGCTAAAAGTAATTTTATATTGAATTGGTTCAAAATTATTTTACAACCAGGTGCCTGTATATCCTATTTTGGTAAAAAAAAAAAAAAAAAAAAAAAAAAGCCTATTTTACTTAAAAATATAGAAAGAGAATTTTTTTTGGAGCAAATAGACTTTTCTTGCAAGGTATCTGTAACTCACCAAAGCAATGTAATTCCAGAAAATATTCTATTGTCTTTGGAAGGAAAGGAATATATTATGACACATATATATATATTAGATATTATGACATATATATGACGACTGGACATTTCAGGAAGAAGTTACTGCTTCTAAGATTCAAGTGAGAATTGAAGTTACTTCATTTAAAAAAATTCAGTTTCCACCTTGATTCTTGTTAGTAATTAGAATAACACCAAGGCCTGCTTATTGCTTCCATTATCAGTTCTAAGCCTCTTTCAGTGCCATTTTGCAGATTTCTTGCATGCTTTCGCTTCTGCCAGCTGGCCCTTGATGAACCAGTGGCTCTTCAGATTTTTCTCTTGGTTTAGCTATACACAAACCTTAGTCTCATAGTTGTGGTGACTAGACAACTTTAAGAGAATCAAGAGTCATAAGGAGATGTTTGGATAATACAGGTGGAAGGCATATTTAAATTTCCATAAATGGAACTGCATGCAACCAAAATGTCTATACCACCCAACTTAAATGGGACGATCCGCTCTAGTTTACATGATACAAGCCAAGCTTTTAATCAGACAGCAGCAGCAGCGTTTTAGGTCAGGAAGGGATATGAATATGTAGATCATGATATATTCAGACTCAATAATGCCATCTTAGCCAGATGGAATCCCTACTGTAATTCAAGAGAGTAAACATTTACTCTATATTACAATTCTAAAGAACGCTGAAGTCAACCATGTGTGGAACAAGCATGTCTGCACTTAGTATCTGACATTTTTTTCCCATGGAGACAAATGATTTATGTAATTTTTTTTATAGCTTTGTATTGTTATTAGAAAGTAACATGCTTGTTTTTTTAACATGTATTGTTTGGAGGTCATAACTTGCCGCCTTAGTGGTATGAAAGGAATTTTAATAAACTGTGGCCAATGCTTGTATGTAACTAAAATGTTGTTGAATTGTGATGCCATTTGTAGGGAATATACCGTTGTATTTCTAATAGGCGCTCTCTTCTGAAGAGATGGAAGCACAAGAGTTTTACATGTACTTATCCTGTTCCAAGTGCTGCTAGTCTATAGTGCATGTGATGATGCTGTTGGGTAACAAACCTCTGTAATGGTTCACAAAGCCTGTTTCCCTTTATTACATAACCATGTGTCTTGTTGCCAGTTTATCTGTCTGTTATGACTTGAGGTTAAAAAAAAAAAAAAAACTAAAGAGAAAATAGTCCTGGTCTGACCGGTGTAGTGAGAGACCTTTCTGGTGCTGAGGGAATCTGAGGTCATTTTGGTTTTACAATGTTAGGACATTTTTCTGCAAAGTGCTATCAAGATAATGTTACACACAAACACCGGTTCACATGGTTGATGTGGAAACCTGATGTCTGTCTTGTGCAATACTTATAAGCTGTTGTCTGTGTTTAATGCATCTGAATTGCTTACACCATAATATCTCAACCATGGAAGTTTTCTCATTTGTTTCATCCCATCTGATAAATCTCTTCCCAGCTTTAGTCTGTTGATATTGATGCTACTTCATGCTGTAGTTTGTGCAAAACTGTGTGAGAGATTATATGGGTTTCAATGGCAAATACCCCAACAAGATGGTAATGGTGGGTTTAGGACTGCCAATGGCCAGTGGTGACTTGCTCTTCAAAAGCATAGTCTGTGTATGTGCCATTCTTTTGCTTGCTTGCTGCTGCTGCTGGGAAGACTTATTCCACTAAACAGACTTTCCAATTTAACACTGTGATTCTGCACAGAGCTGATACAGCATCAAGGGAACGAAATACTGTAACAATGTTTGTTGCATTGAATGACAATATGAAAAGTGTGGTTTTTTGCTGTTAGTGTGTTGATAACATTTTCACATTGGTAAATGTTCTCTCAGAATGTGACTACATTCATCAGTAGTGAACTATTGTACATGAATTTTGTATCTGAAATCCACTCAAATTATGTGTATTACCAATATAAAATAAACATATTTGCTTAAAACATTTCTGGTTTTCCTTGTGTACATCTGTACCAGCTCTTGGTGAGCTTATGCTCATTGAGGTGGTGGTGTCAGATGAAACACTTTATGGTCATTTAAAGGGTCCATGGCATTTTTGGCAAGAGAAGGGAAGCTAATCTTCATGTCCAGCCCAAAGTCCTCTAAGGGCAGAGTGCAAAAACCAATTTCTTTCTGATACAACAGAAAGCTATCTGTCCTGCACATTGTCTTAAATTGTTGTGACTTTATGTGTTGGTGCTAGTAAATCAAGTACCTCCTGTACCCAATGGCAACTGGTTTTCAGGGCTGTTGTCTGATACTACGAGTATAGCTGGTATGGATGCCTAGAGTTAAGGTTGCCTTACACTTTCCATAATAAGACCC